GCTCTTTCCAATGATACCAAAAACATGCCAATCGGTTCAGTAGTTTCGGATGAGTAATTGTCACAAAAAACCTGCTTGCGTATTAAATAAGTAACTAGTGTACCTGTTGCTCGAATTCGAGCAATTGCTAAGTATTACAGGCGTTATTTTAAAATGAACAACACTCATAATTTCTGATGACTAAGATTCAACTCAAAGATTATGGAAATACTCAAGATGTACATAACAGATCGATATAATCAACATTTCTTGTAAATATCTTATCATATTTCAAAATCTGGTCTTGTTTTTTAGTGTTTTCTACAAATAGCCTAACTCATAGCCGCATTAGGTTGTCCATAATAACGATTTTAAATATAAAAAAAAAAACATTTTTTCTATTTCCTCTCGTTGGTGGGTTTCTATGACTTTCCTATGTTTCCATAGTTTGCAAATCGGCTCTTTCAATGATTACTAAGAAATGCAGCACAGTCAGTGTTAATTCAGTTTTCTTCTTAGTATATCAATTTATCCAGGCTCTTTTGCTTTTTATATTGTAATAATTACGCCAACCTAAATTCAAATACAGTATTAAATATTTCATTTCAACCAAGTAAGTAAATGTTTGTAGCAAACTGTTAAATTAGCAGACTTATTGACTGTTTACAATATTGACATATGCTCTTCTTCTCACTTTTAATTTCTGACATCAGCTGGAGTTTTATAACAATATTTGTTAATCCCATGTTAATCTTATGGAGAAATACGAAACTTTAAAGGGCTCCAGGGCCTCACTCTCTAATTATTTCCCTAAAAAGAAAGTTTCCTGCACAACTTCACGTTACGCTCTTTCCAATGACACCAAAAACATGTCATTCGGTTCAGTAGTTTCGGAGGAGTAATTGTCACAAAAAACCTGCTTGCGTATTAAATAAGTATAGATAGATAGATATACTGTTATAGTGTCCCTGTTGCTGTTTTCTTTTTAGTATATCAATTCATCCAGGCTCTCTCTCTTTTTTCTATTGTAATATTTGCGCCAACCCAAATTCAAATCTTTATAATTAATACGCTACATTACACTTTGTCGGTTGAACTCCTCCGCCATTTCTTAACCGATTTTATCCATTGACGTCTCATTGGAAAGAGCGTGTCGAGTAGATCTGCAAACTGGCCTTACATTTATGAAAAAGTCCCTTAAGCTCTGCCCCAGTGGCTTTAAAGGTTCCCATGTTTTCCTTATGAAGAACATAATTGTTTACATTTTGATCAGCTGTATAATTTAATTGCTGTTATTTATCTTTCAATTCAACGAAACGCATTGGGTTCATTTACTGATTTTGGCTGAATAGAAATGAAATAAATGTACTACTTTAATTTACAATTTAAATAATCGAAAAAGCCTTGGCAATTTGATATATTTTACCTCCTATATAATGAAGAACACCTACAGTATGAATATTCCCACAAAAAATGAACAAGGATGTTAGTCGAAGTGTTACTATTTTGTAGGAAACACGGACTTAACTTTATGATTATATTGGCAAAGGAAAACAATCTAAGGCTGAATTAAACTGTTACGGCAAGGACATTAAATATATGTTTTATTAAAAGTCAAGAGATTTAAAATAATATGACTACATCCAAAAAACTTTAATAAAACTTTCATTGAAGGATTTGCATTATTCACATTTAAGGGAAACAAAAAACCATCTAAACAATATTAGGCCTTTCAATCCTGCATTTTTTCAGGTAAATTTATCCATTGAGTATACACGTATATAATTGAATATACGTGTACTCAATTATATAACATACGTTATAACAGTAACTAGCCAAATTATTCCCAATTGAAGCAAATACAATTGTGATAGAGAGGTTATGCAGAAAATCAGGCAGTTCTTAAGTAATGTAAACAAAATGTTATCGTTGTAAAAAAATTACAGAAATTTGTAAACGTACTGGCAACAATGGGTAGTACCATGCAGACTACATTATCATTGACGAAGATCAACATGGACAACCTAATGCGGCTATAAGTGGGAAATATTTGTAGAATACACTAAAAAACTAGATCAGCTTTTGAAAAATTATAAAATATTTACAAGAAATGTTGATTATATGGAACTGTTAGGTACGTGATCTATGAGTTGAGTCTTTTAAACTCATCGGAAATTATGACTTTTATTAGGTTTTAAATAAGTTATTTGTTTTTAAACAACTACCGTACTCTACTTCTTCGCAATTGCTCGATTTCGAGCAACATGTACACTTGTAGTAAAATGTTTCATTTCAACCAAGTGTTTGTAGCAAACTGTTAAACTGTCAAACTTCCATTACTATCCAAACTATCCATTATTTCGTAAATTGCCCTTTAAGGTCATAATTCATTTCTAAAGCGAACTTTCCATATACCTACCTAATGTTAAAAATACCTTAGCTGTATTTATTTGTTTGTTATTCTTTCAATTTATTTCCTTATTAAAATAAGTGTGTTTTTTTTGTATTAGGTACTGTATTCTGTGTTAAAACATGTAGCACATGAAATGGTTGATATCACCTCATTTTTCAGGATTCTCTACGGAGAAAATTCGTTTGAGTAGGTTGGCGTATGTCTCAAATCAAAGAAATAAAATGACTCGACTTAAATTACTTAACACAGGTTATCAGTAAGGCATATAAGGTTTTCTTAAGTTCTCGATTCTGGAAACACTTTGTTGCAGCATGTTACCTCGAATTGAAGCAGATCGTTTAGCATTCATTAGAAGTCATCAGTTAAAACTGAGAGCATAAATACCGGTAATGTAAGTGAGCCTTGACGACGCAAATAGAGATATTTAAAATTAGTTTCTAATAAGTTTTCAAACAACTCTAAGATGTAACTAAAACTATTTGAATTTAAGCTTAATGTTTTTCTTGGCGTTATGTTTCATATGCGGCTCATTGAGCCTAACGGGTTCTCTAGTACAATACAATAATTGAAAATATGATGTCATTTTGAGAAATTTTACAAAACTACAACATAGCAGCGCATAAATAAAATATTATTAAAAGCAACAAAGATTAACAATCCATTGATTAAATGAATGGAAAAGGCGTTCCTGTCATCCCACAATACAGCGGGGTTTGCAAAAGGTATACTAGTTTTTGCAGGCGTTGTTTCGTATGGTACTCAGCCATACATATACAATAAGTGCCGGCTATGTATAACAAGCTTTATTTTTACAATGATTTCCTTGTAAAATCAAATAACTCAATTGTTAATATAAGTGTAGTAAGAAGATTTGTTCACTCATCTATTATTACAATTAATACAATAATAACATTCCCCAAAAATTTAAGTTGCCTTTTTTAAAATAAAACTTATTATGATATCTTCTGGCCAAAAGTTTAATTATCGTTCTGATTTTAAAATATTTATTTAACATTGCAAAGTTTAAAGTAAATTATTCACCTACTATAGGAGGGTTTCGAAAAGGGTAATTAACTTCAAAAAATACAAAAGGATTTTTTTATTCTAAGAAAATAAGCAGAAACCAGATTTATTTATCTTAGTAGCAAAAATGCTATACAAATATATAGCACGGGTTACTTTTGTATTAGTCTTACTCTTATCCCATTTAAATGCTATGATAATGATAGTATCAATAAACAAATGCATATTAGTTATGTAAAGGAGACTTTGTCCTGACCGCACCAGCCTAACAGATGCGTTGGCCACTGGCAACAAGGTCTACCGGCAGCAAACACGACTACATCCCCTTCACCCGTCACGGAACTGGTTCAGCTCGGACATTTCGCACCACCAATCGTAGGTCAGGTTGGTGGTCGTAGACCTTGTTGGCCGCGGACCTTGGCGCGTCCCCCCTACCCTCCCTGGTACTTACAGTTTCACATAGAGCCGTCTGCAATAAGTTTTTGGATGAGTAAGGATAAAAGTTAACTTAGGCCTAAGTTACTTATTATCAAAATGATGCGTATTCTTTTCTCGCACAATAGACTTTGCCCTCGTGGCAAGCTTAGCACTTTTCGGACGAAATAAGTAAATACAGTGGAACCTTGATAACAAGTAACAAGACCCTCGATAACAAGTCACCCTTGATAACAAGTCTCATTTTTAAATCCCCTAGAATTTATTTTACCCCTAATCACATGTTATTGCAAAACTCGATAATAAGACAACCTTGATAACAAGTCTTATTTTATAATCCCCTTGAGAGCCTTTTTATCAAGGTTCTCCTGTAATTCTTACTTAGCCTATAATTTTTTTCGGAACATTCCAAAAAATTTTCTAGCATCGAAACGCTTAAACGTCACTTTGCTTTAGATCAAGTTATGTAGGCCTAAAGATTATTGTCTCCCGCGGTCACATAAAAATCCTGAATACCCCCTACAGTAACGGAACATCATTATCGCCTTTCTCCATTTGTGGAAAATCTTGACATTAGGTAGGGCTACATATATTATAAAAATAGGCTATGTGCCGGAGCGAGCTTTTGTATATAGCTTGCTTGTTTGTAGATATATTATGTTGATCAAATTTAGCAACTTGATTTAGTCTATTTCACCTTAATATTAACATTTGCTCAAAAAAACATATTTTTGCATTCCCCATAGTAGAAAACCTAAGTACTAGCATAGACAAAAAGAATTAAATATAAAAAGACCGTCAGCTGTGCTGCAGTTACCATAGGTTCTGGCGCACACCGCTGGGAGCGCTATGCAGTTACGGCCTACGCACTACGTAACTACATGGCGCTCCCATCATTGTGTGCCAGAACCTATGGTAACCACTGCACGGCTGACAGTCTATATTTAATTCTTTTTGTCTATGTTACTAGTTAGATCTAACTTTATTCAAAATATGCTTTATGGAAATCTTTAAGCATAAATCCAGTTTAAGACGAATTGATAGTCTGCAGGTTTGCTGCTTCAGGTGTATTTTTGCTCTGGTACTTTACTCATTTTGTATGTTTAGTGCACCTTTTTCTGATTTATAGATGCTGTCAGGAGAAAACATTGAGAATTATCGGCTGAGAATATGAAGAAGGAACTCAATCAAGAAGTGGCTGCAGCAAGCCACACCCAGATTGATGAAGAGGTATTTTTTCCTATTTCAATTTACGGTACCGTACTTATTTCTTTGTGATAAGAAATTATTATGAGTAAAGGGCGTTTATAAAAAAACTCCTCATTTACTAGCACCCGTCACCATAGCAACATTTTCCGTAAGGCATTGCAGCTCTAGATTTTTTCAAATTTTATGTGCCACAGTGTTGCCAACAAATGCTGACCAAAAATTTACAATTGGTTGGTACAATGAGTTGAACTGTTATTAAGGAATTAACTTCATATTTCCAATCTGTTAAGATATGTATTTGAAAACCTCCATGGGCCTCAGGTTTGTGCATGGAAAGTTTATTTCAGCACTAGTCTAGTCAATAGATTTGAATTTCAGTTATATATTGAGTTAAGACCCCACTGAGTGTGAAAAAAAACCACATGTAGCCTATATGTAGAGTGGTATTGTATGCAACAATTGTTTTTTACCTTTAATGTCTCATTTCTTGCGAAATCGGCATCGTAGACTATCTTGAACGCGCGGCCAAGTCAGTTTACCGAGTAAGATAGAGTAGTGCGGCCGCGCAAAGCTCATTTTGGTGGCAAAATTCCAAGCTGACTATTCTCCATGACTGAGCATTTCGCTTCTTAGGCCCGGTTCACACGAGCAACTTATCTAGCTAACTAGGCTGTAACTAGGTAAGCCCGAATGGGTAGCGGACCAAAGGATACACCGGTTCACACGAGCGACATGTCAACGGACTAGGTCGTAGGTGTGACGTAAATGAATGTGCATCGATAAACGATGTTTTTAATACATCGATGTTTTCAATACATCAATATTTTCGATACGTTGACATATTTCTGGAAATATTTGATGTTTTTGCGTCAATGGTAAGTGAATTTTTTTTTACATTGATGTTTTGGACAATAACGATGTTTTAAACAATTATCGAATCATTTCAAAACTAAATTTGCATTGGAATCACCCAACAAACTATCATTTAAACTATTATAAAGTTTGGTTGAAAAAACATCATTGTTTAGAGTGTATAGGGTCAATATAAAATTATATTATAAACCTATTAATCGGTTACAAATTTATATTTAGTTTATTCCTATATTTGGACTTGTAATACTAATAATAGGCCTATAAAGATAATTGTTCCAAAGAAACGGTTGTTGCTTCATTGATTCAATACAAATATCGATATCAATGTTACTCGGATCCATCACTGGCGACAATGAGAACAAAGGGAAGAATGCGAGCTGCAGCGTGACGACCGATCGCTCGTGTGAACACTCCCATAGGGGCCATACTGCTAAGCCGCTAGAGCGGGCGACTGGGTTGCTGCCATGAGTGACTTGGAAGCGGGGTCCGACAATAGTTTGGGACACCAAGCTCGAACGCGGCTCGCTAGTCGTCGCCCTACGCTTGTGTGAACGGTTCCATTTAATCCTGTAGTCCTCTACCCAGTCGGGCTTACCTAGTCACAGCCTAGTCAGCTAGATAAGTTGCTTGTGTGAACCGGGCCTAAAATGGTAGTATTCATTAGTCTTAGACCGTCTCTAATATTAACATCACCCATTCCTGTCTCAAATTTCCCAGTCATCTGTTTTATTAGTTAATGATACTAGATCTAGTATAAATTAATGATATTCTATTTTTTTCTATATTTTAATATCATCAGCTGATTGGTTAATTATTTATTGTTTTCTGTTGTGAGTCAGTTGTCCAATTTATTGTTTTGTTTTAGCGTTTGTACTTTTTACAATGTTCAAATATATTTCTAAAACATTTAAAATTTATTGAATTTTTACTTGAACTCCTTTAAAAAGTCAAACATAGGTACTTTTAAAATGTTTTGAAGCTAATCCCTGAAAGCTATAACATCTAATAAAGGTTTAAACCTACAGTACCGGTATGAAATTTTTCAAGTGTCATGGAAAAAGGTATAGTGATATAGACTTTATAAACTGTAAAAAGCCTCTATTTTCTCATTTCAGTCCGACCAAAATTAAATTTATTTGGAAACCTAAGTAAAGATATATTAAATTTGGAACACCATGTCCATAGTTGTTTTGCAAATAATTGGCTCACACACAAAGCAATATTTGAAACATTTATCTCATCATAGGAATAATAAATATTTTCAGATCTAAAGGAAATTATAATCCATAAATTTGGCAAAGTCACATAATTTATTGAGGGAATACATGTATGCAGTGGCGTAAATAAGGGGGGTGATCAGGGTGATCAATCACCCCCCAAAGACTAATAAAAAATAAAAAAATACAAACTAAAAATAAATATCATTTAAATGTTTTTGAATACTGTACTGCTGTTTCAACATAATTACCGTTAAGCGTGTATATGCTGAGAAAATTATTAACTAAAACTTAACAATTTTAAATTTAAATTAACAAAAGGAAAGGAAGTAGCAATATATCTGCAAGCTACAAGTTGTGCGCTTGCGTTCTAGTTAGTCCTGGATTGCCTATGCCGTTGGACTCACACATAAACACTTCCCGATCGTAACACCCACTACCACCGCGCCGTACCGATGGCGTAGACGCGCAGTGCGCTGTTGACGGGTGGGGGAGGGTTGAGGAGGAGGAGGGGCACGTGTTTCTAAAAATAACTCAGCCCACCCCACCCTGACACCCATGACTCCGTAGTCGTAGTCGTAGTCCGTCCACTCCGTTCCACTGATCAGTGTGTTATTGAGCTGTTATTTAGTAGTCGATATTACAGTGTTTTTAGCGATTGTGCATTAGTTCTGGTTCTGTGAGTTAAGATGTTTAAGTGAAGTGAATCAATTAGCCTATCTGTATTTGTTTAAACCACAATATGTCGGCCAAAAGAAAGGGCCAGTGTCTAATAACGGACCTATTCAAAACCAGAAAATTGGACGACTGTCCCCCTCCTGAACCTCTTAATTCGGTCCAACCTCAACTGTCGTCAATAAGTTCATCACCCTCAGTAAGTACCTCAGACACTGAAACTCAGCACAAAGCATTTAACCGGAATGACATTGGGCTTTATTTGAATAAAAGGGTACATGATGAGGAAAAAGTAAAGCTTATGAATGCATTTTGGCAACCCCCCTCCACCTACAAGTTTCCTGTCTTGGAAAAATTTCAGAAACGAAAATTAAAATTTCAATATGCATGGTTCAGTAAATATCCGTGGTTAGTTTACTCAGAAAAAGAAGAGGGAGCTTTCTGTAGATTTTGTTTTTTATTTTCAAAACATGGAGCAGGAGTAAACAGCCAAGAGCTTGGTTCGTTGGTGAAACATAAATTCACAAACTGGGTAAAAGCCCAAGAAGTTTTTAAGCACCACGCTGAAACCGATTATCACAATGCTTGCATTACTGATTTCAAAAATTTGAAAAAAACCCTGGAAAATAGGTCTTTGGAGGTCGTTAATCAGGTTGATACTGCACGCAATGAAGCGATAATTAAAAATAGACGCAACCTTAAACCTGTGATTGAAACTGTCATATTATGTGGACGGCAAGAGCTTGCCTTGAGAGGTCACAGGGACTCTGGAAAGGTTGGGACGAGTTCTATGTGTACAGAGAAAAATGAAGGGAATTTCAGAGCTCTTTTGAGGTACAGAAGCCAAGGGGATAAAGATTTAAAAGACATGTTGGATGGGAATGGAAAAATTAAATATCTGTCACCTCTGTTACAAAATGAAATTATTTCTTCTTGCAATCATATAATACAGAGTAAACTGGTTGAGGAAGTCAACAATGCAACTTATTTCTCGGTACTGGCAGATGAAACTAGTGACATTTCAAACGTAGAACAAATTTCTTTGTGTGTTCGCTACGTTGCTGTAGAAAACGAAAACCACACCCACACTGTTAAAGAGCAATTTCTGCAGTTCGTACCAACGACTGAGCTTACAGGCAAAGCATTGGCCGGGAAAATTCTAAATAGTTTAGAAAGTTATGGGTTAAATATGAGTGGTTTAAGAGGACAAGGTTATGATGGGGCATCGGCAATGTCTGGTCAATACAATGGTGTAAACAAATTTGTACAAGACAAACACCCTTTGGCTTTGTATGTACACTGCGCGGCCCACTCATTGAATTTAGCCGTAACAAGAGCATGTGAGGTCCGTGAAATAAGCAATTGTCTCGGTACAATAGAAAAATGTTACATATTTTTCAATACGCCCAAAAGGCAAGCTGTCCTCAACGATGTGATTGACAAATCAGAAGTAGACCCAAAAGTAAAAACCTTGAAAAGGTTGTGTGCCACACGTTGGGTGGCAAAGTTTGATGCAGTTCGAGATTTCATGCACATTCTTGATTTTGTCCTTGAGTCCCTAGATATTATTTCATCTTGGAAAGATGGCTCAGGAGCCAACAGCTTGAAGTGGGCTATATTAAATATAGAGTTTTGTGTTGCTGTACACGTTCTTGCACATATATTCGCTTTTGGTATGCCCTTGTGCAAAGAACTGCAGAAGGAAACTTTAGATTTGAAAGAGGCTGTTGTACTGGCCGAGGATATAATATCAGAATTGCATTCCATGCGTACTAATGCTGAGGAAGAGTTCCATGCCGTGTTTAATCAAGTCAAGGCTGTTGCATTGGATGTGGGAATTGACATAAAACTTCCTAGACTGTGTTCAAAACAAAAGAATAGGAGTAATGCTCCAAGTTTATCTAATGACCTCACTGACGTGACTAGCATTGATGCTCAAGTCGAAAGTCATTACAGGATAAACCTATTCCTTCCTTTCGTAGAGTTTTTCATAACCCAGCTTGAAGAAAGATTCAAGAAACACAAAGCTATTTTTGAGGGCTTTCAATGCTTGTTTGATCTTCAACAAAACATTGAAACAAAAACTAAGCTAGACAATTTAGTTCAGTTCTATGCAAACGATGTTTCATCCAACAGTGATGACATTTATGTGGAACTGAAAATGTGGAGGAAAGACATTGACAGAACAAAAAATCACAAAGCTTTGAAGTCCGCTCTTACCAGCCTTGATGCATGTGACAAAACATTGTATCCTTCCATCTACCAGCTTTTGAAAATCCTGAGCACACTGCCTGTAACGACATGTACTCCAGAGAGGTCATTTTCAACATTGAAGAGAATAAAATCATACCTCAGGAACTCTACTGGACAAGTAAGTGGAACTGTAATTTAAAAATTTACTACTTAGGGCGACGTACACTGGACCACTACTAAAACTCGTTGCACGCAACTGATTTAAAAATCATTTCATTTGTATAACTGTCCACTTTATTCAGTTTCGCTGATCGGGGTTAGTGTTTGTTGCTCTATTTTTATGCAATTGCGCATCAAATAGAGCAATCATTTTATGTATCAAATAGCTGGTGCTAGTGTGCGTTAGCCCTTAATTAGCTTTTCATTGACTTCACACCTTAATGCATAGACTTTTAGCTATGTTCAAGCTCATAAAAGATGATATATTGTTAATACCTAAAACCATGATTTTGCATATATGACTTTTAATATAATACAATTTAATTTGAAATAATTTTGCATATATTGTAATTTTTTGTCATAAATTAACATTTCTTGATCTCTAGATGTGCCTTTTATGGATTTTAAATGCATACAGCAGGGCTCCCCTCATCAATCTCAAACTCCTCATTCAATTTTTTTTATTCAGCTCATTACTAAAAACGTAAAAACAAAAAACCTATTATTGCTCAGGTAATCCAAAGAACAGTTATACATTTCCTTATCCAAAAAGGAAATTTTTCAATATTTACCCTCATTCAATTAATGTGTTACAGACACGACTGAATGGACTTGCAATGCTGTCAATCCATCGAGAAATTGATGTCACTGTTGACGAGGTCATAGATGACTTTGCTAAGAAACCAAGGAAGATCGATTTTGTTATATAGCTTTGAACAAACATTGTAGATTTTCAATAAATTTGGTGCAATTCTGTTTTGGAAAGTTATTTTTTCAATCCAGCATAATCTATATTCATATCAGTTAATCAGTTATATTTTTCATGTTCATAAGTGCTACAACATAAAACAAAAAAGGCAATAAAGTCGCTAAGATCACACTTTAACCATTTGCGAAAAAAATCAATAATAAAAAAGTTAATTTTTGCGGTCGAATGGCGAGTATCTTAAGTCAATGGTATAGGTCGCCGGGTGCCATTTTACCGACAGCTAAAATGGCAAACTGTACTCGCCGAAAAATGGGGAAAAATTTCAAAGTGTATTTCAAGTTTTGAATTCAAGAGTGTATATTTTAAAATTGTTAATCAATTAATTAGCCTATGTGTATTTGTTTTAATCTTGCTGAACAATATGTTGGTCAAAAGAAAGGACCAGTTTTTAATATTGGACATGTTTAAAACCAGGAAATTAGATGACTGTTCTGTTCTCCTGTACATGCAAATGAGCATGTTAATTCTGTTCAACTGTCTTTGGTAAGTTCATATGAACCTCAGAAGAGACAGCCTCAATTGGGTTGATTTTTGGAGTAATTTTGAACATGATTACACCTCTGGAATGCTTATTCCATACCCCCCAGACCCCCCGGTTCACACGATGAGTGCAAGCTTGGTGCTCATCCATCCCCCCCCAAAGCCATGTTCTATTTACGCCACTGCATGTATGGCAACTTAAAAAAATACTACAAAACATCAATTTTATTGAGACAACAAAATATTTTTAATTTCTGTTTTTCAGGTCTAACAGACAGCAAGCAACACCCGCTGCTGAAGAGTGTTCTGATGACTGAATACTGTACGAATTGTAATTTAAACCTGTGTAAATATTTTCAGAATATAAAATGTTAAGTGCACTTTTACTTTGTTTGATTTCCATTGTCAAAACTTCTCTGATTAAGATAATTTCTCAATTAGTTTGAAATCAACTGTAGGTATAGGAATAAATTTGTTTCATTTTTTGTCATTACAGCTTAGTAAAGCTATGTAACTAATACAGTACTGTGTTACTGGTTAGGTCTATTATATGGAGTCAATTTAAATTCAACCGAGGAGTTAGCTCTGTTTAGCATTTCCTCTAATAACATTCAAGTTTTTCTATTAGAGGCATTTATATTAAATTTGCTTTGAGTAAAAATTAAACTACTGATTTAGTTCTGAAAGCTGTATTTAGGGCACATTAGACTTCTGATAACAAGTCTGATATTGGCCCTACTTTACCTTACAAAGCTATCTTACGGTTAGTTTGTAGGCATTTGACAAAAATAATTTTTAAGTAAAATACCTTTTTGAAACCCATAGCCTACATTTCTTAAAATGATTGTATTCTACCATGAAATGAACAGTTGTCATAAAACATATTTATTTATTGCTCAGTGCTTTATTTTGGCTTTTAGTTAGTAATTAGTTACTTTTATTTTCAAACAGGATCCAACACATTTATCTCTAATTAGCCTACAGTCCCAAGTCTATTTTTAAAACCTATCATTCTCTATCTGGCAAAGTAAAAAGTTTTGTTGGCCAAACAAAATTTAATTTATTTTACATACATTACTATGAAACATAAACATAATGTGCTTCATTTTTATCTGAGCTATATTTTCAATGATTTATTAATTTGTTTTATGGAACAAAATATATCTGTTACAGTTTCTAAGTTCTAATAAAAGGCCTGTGATAAGTTTAAACAGAAGGCCTGTGACAAGTTTGAACAGAAGGTTTGTGTCAAGTTTAAACATAAGGTGTGTGGCTAGTTTAACCAGAAGGCATGTGGCAAGTTTAATCAGAAGGCCTTTGACAAGTTTGTATAGAAGGCCTGTGACAAGTTTAATCAGAAGGCCTGTGGCAAGCTTGTCTGATGGGAACTAGGAGGTTTGCTACAAGCTTGTCCCAAGTGTACAAGCTTGCCGTTATACACTTGTAGCAAGTTTAAAGGTTTGACAAAAAAGGTTTGTGACAAACCTTTCTCAAGCTTTTTTTGTTACCTGGGTTGAGAGGTTATCTTTACATGAAAATTATTTGCGTTTTTTACTTGTTTTGTTAATTAATGTCAAGAATCAAGAATCAAGAATTTATTGCAACAAATTACAAAAAGAACATTTTGTATAGTTGAGATCAATATAAGAGTAACTTAGGCTAAGAAGTCTGATTAATTCACAAAGATAAAATGTCTAGTGGATAGCATATTAATTAGAGCCTATAAGATTCAATACAAAATAATTTAAACAACAATGTACACGTGTAGGCCTACATCAGTCAGAAAAGTAAAAACTAATATCAGTGTGTCGGACATACAAATTTCACTTAAACTATAAAAAGGGTGACTTAATAACCAGCAAAAAAGTTAAATAAATAATATAATGTTCCCTACCTTCTACCTTTAAAAAAAAAAAAAAAAAGTTTACTTTTAAATAACTTATTATCGGTATTTACTCAAGGGAGGTACAGAAGAGCCTTCGATGACGTCAGCTGTCAGATCTCCTCTTGAGGGAACACCATTACCGCAACGATACGGAATTCAGTCATCGGCCTCGGTGGTGTAGTGGATAGCGAGTCGGGCTGATAATCCGAAGGTGCCGGGTTCGAATCCCGCTGGCAGCACTAACATTTTGTCAACAATTTTTTTCATATCAGCAAGTTTGGTTGGTGTGGTTAGGTTATGACAGTTTAATTTTATAATAAAAGAATTGTATAATTGAATTTTAGCCATTTATAATTTTATTTTATGAACAAAACTATTTTTTAGATTAGTAAACCTTCATTCGATTTTTTCATTATCAGCACGTTTGGTTAGTTTGGTTAGGTTATGACATTTTAATTTAATAATTGCAAAATTTTAAGATTAATTTTATAATTGTTCTTAATTTGATTATTAACTAGGCCTAATAGTGAAGTAAAAATTACGCGCTGTGCTCTCTACTACAACGCAGTAACGGAGGAATTTTGAACTAAACTATGATGTTATCGTTGCCTCATTTGTACCTCCCTTAAGTCAGACCCCTTATCAATACAGTAAGCTTCAGCTGGCAAATGATTAATAAACACTTTTAACCCTAGATAAGAGACAGATTCTTGGGACTTTGTTAGCCTGACTAAAGGTAAAGCTAAATTATTCCTATGTCTAGTAAAATTACTATGCGAATGTGATATTAAAGCTAAAGAATTAATATTTACTTTTACATAAACAAGACACACATAAATAAATAAATTAAAAACAGTGAGTATTTTTTCCTGAATAAACAAGGGTTTACAATGGGCTCTGTACTTAGATTCTTAAAGCCTTCTTTTGTAGGAGCAAGATTCTACTAACATCATGACCACAGCCCCACAGTAAAATACCATAGCTTAAAATACTATTAAAGAAGGCAAAGTAGGCCATCCGTAGATAGTGTCTAGGGATATATTTTTTTCAATAATATGTATACTGTATATATTATGTCTGTTGTTTTGTTTTGTTCCGAATGTGAGTTTGAGAATTTCTTTGAAAGTCTAGATTGTTTTTAGCGAATTTCCCATACATAGGGAATAAGCTAATACCGTAGTACTCATGGTAAGACCTGGACCCGGGACAGATTCAGATTTACTTTTTCGTTTTAAGGTCCCTAGAGGCCAAAAACACCATCCGTTCAAATTCATATATATATATATATATATATATATATATGTGTCCGTTAGCACAATAACTCGAGCAAAAATGACCGAATTTTGATGAAATTTGGTACAAACATGTAAACCTACATTTATTCGAACGAATTCGCGAACCAGCATGATCGGACTATGAGAACTGGGGTTTATGGGGGGTTTTATAGGGTAAAAATAGGTTTTTCCCATTTTTGACCCTAAAACACAAAATTTCACAATATCTTTTCAAACCATTTTGTAGAGCTTAAAAAAGAAATAATTTAGTACATTGAAGCTTTATCATGGGTTTAATGGTTACGGAGAAAATTAAAAAAAACTGTAAATTTAAAATTCCCATGTTATTCTTATGGAGAATAAGTCAATAGTGTAGTAAAAAATGAAAGTATTTTCCAAACTCGATCAAAATATGTTCATAAACAAGCAAACTACAACAGTTGACTTATTCTCCATAAGAATAACATGGGAATTTTAAATTTACAATTTTTTGGAATTTTCTCCGCTTCAATATACTAAATTATTTGTTTTTTAGGCTCTACAAAATGGTTTGGAAAGAAATTGTAAAATTTTGTGTTTTTAGGGTCAAAAATGGGAAAAACCTATTTTTACCCCACAAAACCCCGTTCCCATAGTCCGATCATGCTGGTTCGCAAACTCGTTCGAATAAATGTAGGTTTACACGTTTATACCAAATTTCATCAAAATCGGATCATTTTTGCTTGAGTTATCGCGCTAACGGACACATATCTATAAGTATAAAAGAGGATGTTTGTATATATATTTGTTTGTTTGTTTGTTTGTTTGGCAGTGATAAACTCAGACACCGCTGAACCGATTGCCACAAAACTTGGTACATACGTGTAGAATGTCATGGAATAGGTTTATACACCATCAATTTCGTGATCCGTCCAATCGGCTCCGCCCCAGTGGCTCTGGAGTTTCCCATGTTAACCTTATGAGAAATGGAATTAATGAATCTTAACAGCTGTTTCAATTAAACAAGTTGGTTCTGTTCTATGATGTTCAATAGCATTAAAGTTACAAGGATTACCAACAGGGTGCAGCACTATTATTTCTTTTACATTTATGACAACAGCTAATTTGCAACCAAAAGGTGAGTGAGCATAGCGAACGAACTTCAACCTGGAGGCGAGTTAGCGTAGTGAACGAGCTAACCTGAAGGCAAGTGAGCGTAGCGAACGAGCTAACCTGAAGGCAAGTGAGCGCAGCGAACGAGCTCCAACCTAAAGGTGAGTGAGCGTAGCGAACGAGCTCCAACCTAAAGGTGAGTGAGCGTAGCGAACGAACTTCAACCAGGACGTGATTGAGCCAGGCGAACGAGATCATCTTGAAAATTAAGAAGTTAAACGGGGCAAAGCTCGCGGGTTACAGCTGGTATATATATACAGTAAAACATGGCTTTCTTTTTAAAATATAATATAAAGAAATAAAACATTCCAATTAATAATCAGAATTTATATTCGCTATGTTAAAAATTAAAATTCAAATTAGGGTATATCAGGGGTGCCCATCCCCCCTAGACTAATTTTTTCCGTGACCGTTAGGCATACAACAACGCTTCAATATACTAAATTATTTCTGTTTTTAAGCTCTACAAAACGGTTTAAAAATAAATTGCAAGATTTTTTTGTTTTTAGGGTCAAAAATGGGAAAACCCCATTTTTACCCCATAAACCCCCGTTCCCATGGTCCGATTATGCTGGATCGCAAACTCGTTCAAATAAACGTAGGTTTACACGTTTGTACCAAATTTCTTTAAAATCGGATCATTTTTGCTCGAGTTATCTGGCTAACGGACATATATATATATATATATATATACAGTGTGTAAATTAAGTCTGGCACACATTTTTTATCTTTTTTTCTATAGTAGATAGAAGAAATCAATTTGCAGGACTGATTAATAACAAATGTTAGGCACTTTTTACACATTTTGAAAATAAAAATTCCCTTAAGGGCAAGGTGGGGTGGGGGGTAACTAAAAATTTTCAAATGACAACCCCCATCTTGTGACCCCTCATTTTAAAGGTCATTGGAAGACAAATCCAAAGATGTGTCTGAAAAATTTTTTTTGCACCCTATCCAAGATGGCGGTTTAAAATGTACTTAGGGTTGAACCGGTAAATTAGGTATGGCACTCATTTCTTATCTTTGTTAGTCTTTGTAGATAGAAGGAATTAATTTGCGGGACTGAGTA